CCCTCCCTCCTCTTTTCTGTCCCCCCCCCCCCGCCCCCCCCCGCTCTCCTTGTCTTCTGCTTGCCCCTGTTCTCTCTCCATCTCTCTCTTCCACTCTCCCTCTCTACCTCTCTCTCACGCCCCCTCACCCCACCCACACACACCCCTCCCTCCCCGCACCCCCCCTCTCTGTCTCTCTCTCTCTCTCTCTCTCTCTCTCTCTCTCTCTCTCTCTCTCTCTCTCTCTCTCTCTCTCTCTCTCTCTCTCTCTCTCTCTGTCTCCCTCTCTCCCTCTATTCAGAACCTCCCTCTGGAAACATAAACAGCGCACTTAATCGTAGAAGGAGCTGTGCAGTTTTTCGCTTTGCAGGGGAAAGACAGGAAGTGCTTATCTTTGCTAGCCAGCCTCTCTGAGCGTTCTCTTGCTGCGCGATTGGCATCCCTCCATCTGAGTGCGCAGCGTCTGCTGTTGCCACCCCACCAGCTTCTGCAAGAATTCGATGAGGTCAGCTGCAGCAGAGAGAGCATCAAAAACTGCAGAACGAGGATGCCTCCAAAGTGACACACACACACACACACACACGCAATGTAAATGTGTGGAGCAGTCTTTCTGCGTGTCTGCTCCTTGTCTCACCTTGGATGGCGTGCGCCTGCTTGCCACTTTGCAGCTCGAGAAACAGCAGGAGATGCTGCAGGCTCGACAGCAACAGCAGCCTTTCCTCATGCAGGATGACCACCACGTGACGCAAGACTTTTACTTCTGCTTTGCATCCTTCATCGACTCCTTGATCGAAGAGGCTAGGCAGCGAGATGCTCAGCTGCTGCTGCCACAGCACAGCAGCAGCAGCAGCAGCAGCAGCAGCAGCTTCGGTGGAGATGCCTTCTTCGCTTATCCTCCCTCGCTGCCTGCAGCCTTATCTGGAAGGCGCAAGACAGGCAAGCAGCATTCCTCGCAGCAGCAGCAGCTGCTGCAAGAGGGAAGCTGCCAGCCTACGGCTAAAGACAAGGAAGGTGAGCTTGCACGAACGGCCTTCGACCGGTACTAAGGCTTTTCGTTTTGCAGCTGCTTGTACTGCGGATTCGAGTGCTCCTACTGCTGCCTCTCCTCTTTCTGATACTGTGGCTTTTGTGCCTTGTGCTTCTTCGTGCGCATGGTCGGAGGTTTGCCCTTACGTAGCGATCCAGCCGCTGCTTCACCGCATGCAGTTGCCGTTCGAAGCGAAGCCCGCACAGGCGTCTTCCCCACGTGCTGCTTGTGTGGCTGCTGCTGTCTCAGAGCTAACACTCTCTTTTCTCGTCTGCCAGTCCGTGCGGCTACACCTCAAGGTGCTGCAGCAGCAGCAGGAGATCTGCTTGCACGTGCAGCAACAGCAGCAGCAGCAGCAGCAGCATTTTCCAAGCTGGAAGCTGGAGAGACAGCACCTGCAGTGGCACGGGCAGCAGCAGCAGAAGCGGCGACATCATCAGCAGCAACTCCTCCGACAACACGCAAGCCTTCACTGTCTGCTTGCCTTAGCCTTCTCATACACCACTCCCAACACGTTTGTAGGACCACGTCTGCAAATATCTGTTGCGACGGCAACAGTAAGCTGCAGCCGAAGAAAACCACCAGCAAGGCTGCTTCCCCAGCTGCTTCGCGGAGGGATGTAGCTGAGGCGACTGCAGCGCACCAGCAGCAGCAGCAGAAGCAGCAGCAGAAGCAGCAGCAGTGGTTCCTGTGCTGCTGTGTGTGAATTTGCGTCGTGCAGCGCTTCTCAGAGTTGCTGCAAACTATATTTGCAGACGAATTACACAAAGTTCCCGTATCCCGATGGTATGTTGCTGCAGCTGTGTGTATGTGTGTGTGTGCATGTGTGTGTGTGTGTGCATGCATGTCTTGCTGCCGCTGCAGCTCTCTGTGTGTGTCTGTGTCTTGCTTGCTGCCACTGCAGCTGTTTGCGTCTTGCTGCCGCTGCAGCTCTCTGTGTGTGTCTGTGTCTAGCTTGCTGCCGCTGCAGCTGTTTGCGTCTTGCTGCCGCTGCAGCTCTCTGTGTGTGTCTGTGTCTAGCTTGCTGCCACTGCAGCTGTTTGCGTCTTGCTGCCGCTGCAGCTCTCTGTGTGTGTCTGTGTCTTGCTTGCTGCTGCTGCTGCTGCTGCTGCTGCTGCTGCTGCTCTTTGATTGGAACTCTTGCATGCGTCGAGGCAGGCTGCTGATGCATGCATCTGCCTCCGTGTGTCTGTTGCTGCAGGGCGTCAGCAATAGGCTTTCTGACATCGCGATTGCTGCACGGCGGCTTGGGAGACAGTTGCTGCGTCACTCTGTTGGCTCGGCTGTTGGCAGCGCAGCCGCAAAAGGTGCTGTGGAGTCTTTTATCATTTTCGAATCCAGTGCATGCGCAGAATATTCGTGCTTACAGTGCGAAGTATGACTTGACGATTGCGACGGTACGTCGAAAGGGCCCCCTGAAGGCGACGCGCAGGTAGAGCCAGCGGGGGAGGCCTTTTGAAAAAGAAAAAGAAAAAGAAAAAGTTCTTTTCTCAGAAAAAACGCGCTTTCCTTACAAGTGCAAGCCAGTGGAGGGTGGCGGTGTGTGGTGCGTCTTGTTGGCGAGAGAGAGAGAGAGAGAGAGAGAGAGAGAGAGAGAGAGAGAGAGAGAGAGAGAGACAGAGAGAGAGACAGAGAGAGGGAGTCTATCTCTCTCTCTCTTTCTCTCTGCGTTTTAATTCTGCGGCTCGAGATGTTCTTCTATGACTGGCATGTTTGCACGCGCTCCTCTCAGCTGCTTCTCGCTGTCTGTCTGTCTGCCTGCATGCATGCATGCGCATGATGGTCGCCTGTCGTGAGAGGTACCGTTGTCAAACCCACCTGCGTGTCGACGTCGCTCTGTGCCTTTACGGCAGCAGCGGGGTACACGTCGTAGCCTCTTGTCAGCGATACATCTGGGGAGAGAGGGAAAAAGGAGGTGAAGAGGCAGTGGTTTGAAGAGATGTTGTTCGAACTTCTCGAGCAGCAGCACCTCCGCTGCCGCGGCTACTTGTCGCATAGTTGCAGAGCCTGTTCCTTTGCTCGAAACGCAGGAGTGTGCTGAGTGTATTACATCTCAGCTGCCTGTTTCATGTGCATGCATGGACCAGATTTGAGGCGGGAGGAGGGGTGGGTGTCTTTGCAGCCGCAATTCGCTGAATTCCGCTTCCAGACTTATACGACATGCGCGGCAGCAGCAGCGGCGGCAGTGGCGTGGGCAAAGGCGAAGGGCATGTCACCCCCCTTGAGAGCGATGATAGTTGGCTTTGTTTGTGTGGCGGGAGAGTGCCTTTTCGTCGGGGGGTGGGGGAGGAAGGGGGAGTATCTTTGCACGTGTTAGTCGGCAGCCTTGAGGCGCAGACGTACAGACACCGCATGGCTCCACGTCGGTGCTGGCAAAGGGCGCTGCTGCGGGTGTATTTGTGTGTATATATATAAGTATATCTGTATACATATATATGTAAATATATCTGTGTGTGTATACGTGTGTATATATATGTGTGTATTTATCTGTGTGTGTATATATATGTAGATATATCTGTGTATGTATATGTATATGTATGTGTAAATATATATGTGAATACATCTGTGTGTATATATGTATGTATGTATGTGTGTCTGTCTGCAGGCGCTGCAACTGCAGAAGACAGCACCAGCAGAGCCACCAGCTGCGGATCTGAGGAAATTGCTACCTCTGTGCGTTCTGCGAGTTAGCGTCCTCCTAAATCTGATCAGAATTTCCTGACTGCGGCTTTGGTCTGGCCGTCTTTTTTTGCAGGCTGGTAGCAGTGTGTTTTTGTGTATGTGTGTGGTAGTCTATATATATATTTATATATATATATATGTGTGTGTGTGTGTTTGCACGTGAGTATATGTATGTATGTATATATATCTATGGCAGTGTCGGTGTCTCGCTATATCGCCGCTCACCCTCACACTCTCTCTGCGATGCGGGTGACACCCCTCAAACGAGACGTCAGAAAGTATTGCATTTGCCTTATCCCTCACTGCGTGTATGTTCATCATCAGGTATGAAGGGATAGGCAGAGAGCTGCACGCTGCAGCCATGCTAGAGAAAGTCTCTGGACCTGCTATCCAAGTAGAGGAGCACTTTCCAAAGTTGGAAGCGTAAGTCTCCACATGGTGTCTCGCTGCGGGAATCGATGCGTGTTGGTTTAAACGAGGAGCAAAATGCGAGGGGAGAGGGAGGAATGATGAGGGGGAGGGGGAGATCGGGAGGGAGGCAATGCTGCGTCTACGAGGCCCCTTGTGCCTCATGATGTGTAAGTGGATTCTCCAAATGTTGCGCTTGTCTATGCGCCGTGCTATTTTTTCGCCGCATGTATCAGTATACCTCTCTGTGTGGATGGCCACTATATCCCCCTTTCATCTCGCATCGATGCCATTCCATCGCTTTACCCGTTTATTCAACTTCAATTTTCGTTTTCTTTCTCTCTCTCTGTCCCTTTCTCTTTTTTCTGTCTGTCTGTCTGTCTTTCTGTCTGTCTGTCTGTCTGTCTGTCTGTCTGTCTGTCTCTCTCTCTCTCTCTCTCTCTCTCTCTCTCTCTCTCTCTCACACCGGAAGAGCTTCGTGTAGGGCCAGCGTGTATCTCTCGGTGCGCGCTGTATCTTAACAAAAATAATCCCCCGACTGCAGCCTCATCATCTACTCCCTCAACTCCAGCTGTACCTCACTCCCCTCCGCCTCACCATCACTCACCCGCTATCTCCTTCCCTCGCCCATTCCC